CCATTGCAAAACCATTCTAATTCTCTTGTTGCTAAGAGATTTGAGTGAAGCATATTTGAAGCAAAAAATATTAATTTATATTGCTGAAAGAGAAAGTTTGCTACTTTGCCAACTGTGTCATTATTTCTGACTGTACTTCATAAAAGCTAATAAAGTCACTTTGTAAGTGACTTTGTGTCATTGCTAGTTTGAAATTCTAGTACTTTAAAGTCTACAAAGTCACTTGCACCATGTTCTATCATTCTCATGAACTTGTACCTCTCGTAACCTAGTTGTTTATTTGCCAGTCGCTCGCCATCTTTTGTGTCATGTTGTATTTGTGAAAGCATAGATCATTAACTTCTAATGGATAAACAAAGAATAGATGCAGACAATAACATCGTCCTTCATGAGTCGATGCAGCAAACCTTTGACCATGACCTTTTCATGAAACATTGAATTTGGTTTACTTTAATAATGTGGTCTCATTCCGTGATGGAATGCGTTGGCAAGTGTTTTGTTTGTGGATTTCATCAAATGATAGTTCACATTTTGTTGGCTGGCAGCAGCTTGGCGGGTTGATCGATTGTGTTGATCGAGTCTGTCAGTCTACATCTTTGTTCTGCTGCTTGATGTCAAACTTCGCCAACTTGTAGTTTGTAACTACTACGGTCCTGAATGAACATACATGTAGCTTATATAGCTGTCAAGAAACATTCCTCCTCACCATCCATCAGAGTCAAACTTCTTGGTCAGACATGGGTGTTGAATTTTGCGTAATTACAGTGTAATTAACACCACACTTACAGGGTTGGGTCTAAACACCTTCAAGGGCTAGCCATTCTTCAGGGAATAATTGGGTGTTGGACACCCTGGGGTTGTTATGACTGGTGTTTACGATTGAGTGGAGTTTTGATTGATTGGAGCCAATAGGGAGTGTCTTTAATGAATGTCTTGAGGGTAGTTCACACACAGAGAAATTAGTGAAGAATGAAAAGAAAAGATTTTTGAACTCCGATTAGAATTTCATTTTGTTTTGTCTTGACAATGACAGTTTTTATTATCTTTACAAGACTGATTGATTGCTGAAATTAGGATGGCAATCTAAACAATGGATATAGTGAATGATGAAAGCAACTTCAGCTATTTCTTTATGCTCTGTGTCGAGATACAGGTCTCTGGATCTCTGACCAAACATAAAATGAAATAAAAAGACTTTAAATATCCCATTTGTGAATCTGTGCAAGAAAACAGAGCCCTTTACAACAATGTTCAAATTTATGGGTGTTTCTTTCCTGGTGACCTAGCGACAAGTTTTTCCCTTAAGATTGTATTCATGAATGAACTACAATATTTGGAATCCAGTCTGCGTACAATATTTGTTGCTATGTCAGGCAAGCATCGGGCAAGCTTTCAGATGATGAAGAACAATGTTTGTGTAAGAAGTATGCTTAAAGTTTGAACGTATATGTTTGTAAACAGGTCTAGATCGAGATGTGAATCATGATCTAAACATTTTTTTCTCTGTGTGAATGGACCTATCAGAACAACGTTTGTGGAAGAAGTATGCTTAAAGTTATATGTTTGCAAACAGATTTAACGAGATGGGTATTATGATCTAAACACCTTTTTTTTTTCTCGGTGAGAATGGACCTATTGAGTCTAGTGTTGATTGAAAGGAAGCAATAGGGAATGACTTTAATTAATGACAATGTGTGTGTGACATTGGAGTAGAGGGTTGGCCGTTGGGGCAGGTGGAATGTGAAGTGACTCCACACCCAACAATTCCAGAATCTGTAAATTGGATGTGCTCCAGAGGGTTTGCAAAGGTCAGCAACATTGTTCTATTGATCTATTATGGCTCCTTGATTTCACATTCAACAACTGGTAATGATGGAATAGGAATTGAAAATGTTTTTATTTCAGAATACAATTAGATGCCAAATGATTATCCATAGGCTTGCGTAAAGATAGTTGATTACCTTTCCCCCCAACCATCAGAAATATATGAGAGTGCATGTAGGCGTGCATAAACTTGTAAGTAGGTCCATGATTAAAGGTTCTGAATAATCCCAAACCCCCTTCTTTGGGACTTATTTTGCTTGAAAATGCAAGAACCGCCCCCACCCTCCTCCTCCAATGTTGGATGTTGAATGTTGATTTAAAACTTCTAGAATTTATAGTTTGTCCATATAAATCATGTAATGTTCACATTTTGTCATTAAACAGCTGGATGGCTTTCGGCAGCAGTCAATCATAGCCCATTCATTTGTGTGGCCCTTTGTTCCTTTAGCTTCCCCATATCGTCTGAATTCAGCTTTCTGATCATTCTTGCGATCTACACCAGTGAGGGCAAGACCAACAAAGCTTAGTTTAAATTTTGTAGTACCAATCATCTCTTTAGATACATGTATGTACCTGTAAGTGATTATTTCAATTGAAGGCCCAAACAGTTTGTTGTGACAGATTTAAAAGGGTGACATACATGTACAGTACATGTACTGACATTTGGGACAAACCAGTAATACCATTTATTTATTCATCACTTTATGTAAGGAACTGTCCATGATTGCAGAGCAGAGCTCTCGGCCTCTCAAATTGCTTGTCATTGGCCATTTTATGGGAGCTGCAATGGTCTTGATCATCACAGGGGGTGGATGGGGTTGATGCATATAGTGACAGAGCATGTTGTTGAATGTTGATATTATATTATCATCAACTTGTACTAGCTCCAGGCTACACTTGACTCCAAGCAGGAGAAATTCTTGTCAATGAAATGGACAGATGAGGCAAGGTTTGTTTGTCCATGGTTTGTCAAACAAACCAGTCACTTCAATTGCATCACTTGAATCACTTGAAGTCGTCTGATTTGAGCCAGAAGGGCGATAACTCATTTTGTTTTAATGACATAGCTAATGCCCTTCTGTCCCTCAAGTCAAAAGAAGGAGTGGGAGAGGGTCTGTTTGTAGGTCCATGGTTTGTCTAACACACCAATCACTTAACCCTATTTAGCCCGGGGGGGGGGGGGGGCTTGAGAAGCCCCCCCCTCGACATTTTTCGCGATAATTTTTTAAAGCAAGAAAATCTTGCACTGAAATTTTGTGACTTTTTTCTTTCGAGTCTTGCGCATCTTTTGAAAGAAATTTTTCGAAAATCGGACCTACCATTACGAAGTCACGTGTCCTTTTGTCTTTGCATGTCAGCCCGAAAATCGCTCATTTTTGTGATTTGTGTACAAAACATATGTAAATCTCATTTTTCAAATAAAGAGATAAAACATTGGTTATTTGGTCTTGTTTATAGTTTAGGTGTTTATTTTTGGGTCAAAATAGTTGAATTATAGTTGGAAATGAAATAAAACAACAAAAACAATAAAATACATAACTTAAAAAAAACAAAGAAATACATAAGAAATTATCAAAACAATAGATAACATAAGGAATAACCCTGGTTTTTTCAATTTTTTGTGTTGTATTATTATTCCAAATGGTCTAACAAATATATGTAGTGAGAAAGAATGCTTAAATATGAATAATGTCTGATTTATGGGCAAAAATGTGAATTTTATGACCTTATTTGCATAAATTACCATAAATATGCAAATGAGTGAATTTTTCAAAAAATTGAAATTACCATAGTATTCTATACACTTCACTTGACATGTATGCACATTTTCGCGGCGATCGGGCGTTTCACGGCCGAGATCATAGGGGGGGGCCTGAGAAGCCCCCCCCTGGGCTATGCAGTTTCAAAATAGCCCGGGCTAAATAGGGTTAAACATGTCTCGTTTGATTTGAGCCACAGGGGCGTTACCTCAGACATTTTACCAACAACTTCAAGGGGGTGTTTCACAAAGATCCTGAGTCGAACTGAACTCTAAGTTGGACTTGAACATTATGGAGAGCTTCAATTGTAGCCTTAAAAAAATATACAAAAAAGCAAAAATTCAAGGATTTTAGATTTTTCATAAATTCAACATCAAGAACACGAAATCTCCTTGATAATAGAAAATATGAATTATTTGAATCAACATTTTAAGCCTTTTAAAATAACTTTTACAAAATATTTTCAAAGGTACTAACGACTCTCCGTAATTCTTAAGTCCAAATTAGAGTTAAGTTTGACTTGTGAAACACCCCCCTGGCCCTCTACAGATGGATGGGCAAGAGGCAGTCCGTTTGTTGATTGGAACGGAGCTACATGTATCACTTGAATATCTGTTGTCTATTCTGAATCAGATGGGCTTTAACTAAGGTAATTCATGTAATGAATAAAGAGTAATTCCCTACTGGCTTAATTGCAACAGATGATATGTTCTTTGCATTGAGTTGATATGAAGACTGTGCGGAAAGATGGATACGTAGAGATACAGGAGCTGGGTGTGTTATCAACAAACTATTTCTGTCTGATTGGTCAATATGATGAATATTTGATGAGAATGAAGTGAATTGGAAAGAAGAGAGATGGATGAGAGAAAGTAATGGCTTATGCCAAGAGGGAAGAAGGTCATGAAGGAGAGTGAAAAAAGGAGGGATAACCCCCATTGCACCACCGTGCCCCTCTGTGTGTCCGATAGATGTTCATACGTTTTCAGTGGATTAGAACATGTGTTTAAACCACATCACCCAACTAACAACATGTCTATTTTTTTTCTTTTATTTCTCAAGAATTGTAGTAAAAGAAGATGTGAAATCATAATGAAAGAATTTTATATTTGTCAAAGTTCAATTCTAATTTTGATGCATTTTTGTATAGACAAAAAAACATTGCTGTACGATGGTATTAGATGTGGATGGAATGTAGATAAGTTTCCATTACAAACTTTGACAAAAATGACACCCGATAGAGAGTAAACATTGTTATGACATACATGTACACATACTACCTGTACATGTTAAAGAAGGTAGATTTCTCAGAAGAAAACTGTGTGCAGTGCACTTGTGTTATCATTGTCATTTTAATTTCTATGAAATGCAACTAAATACTTTCTTTTTTTCTACTACTTTTCTTCCATTCTACAGGCCTGATTTCAAGCAGCATACGTTACCGTGCGACATGACGGCAGAGACCTTACTCATAGGTAATCTATCTGTGCGGAATGGTGACGAGCTGACAAGAGGGGGCAGTATAGCCAGCAGCAGTACGTCAAGTAATAGTACAAGAAGTAAAGGCTCAAAGCACAGACCAAACGTACTCACATCAGGTAAGAGCAGGGTCAGGGCTTGAATATGGTTCTGAAGAAGTTTAGAGATTCAGTGTCAGCGCTTCAAACATTTGGTCTGCTGACATGTATGCTGTGGGCTTTATTTTGTCAAAGATTTAAGGTCGGGTAAGGATCATTTGTTTCATGGTTTCAGGGTAGAGTTAGGGATACGATTAGGTATAGTGCTTGGGTCAGAGTTGAAGTTTAGAATTTGGTTAGTGTAGGGTATAGACAATTGAACAACTGTCACTGGAGCATGTGTTGTACAACCCAATGTCGCACATGTACATTCATGTACTGGGCATAGAAATCTGCTGCTATGTTCATACTTAATGAAATATTTGGTTCGTGAAAGCTTGTCATCCATTTTGCTGTGAATGGTTTTTATAGAGTGAGTGTGCATTTGTCAAATGTTTATAAAGAACATCAGGGCCCCTGTCTTCTAAAAAAAAATTCTGATTGATCCCAATCGATCCCAAATGAACCTAAATTTGATAGTGATGGCAACTCTGCACATAATAAATAGGCGATTGACTGTAGGAATCGCCATAAGTGTTCATCTATTGCTTTTTCTTGAAATAGGTTCTAGTTGAGGCTATAAAACCATACAAAAGTAAGTATCAATAGATTTAATCACTTAGAGAAGTAGTGACTTATCCAACTGCATTTAAGTAAGGCCATTCTCTCTTGTTCGTTGCACACAGGTCTTGTATCTCCTGTCGAGCCCGAACCCCGCATTTCCGAGGAGAGCTTTGAGCTCGGTCATTCCAGGTCTTCGAGCTACAACTCGCAGCAATCTCGGGCGAGCGGGTACAGCAGCGCACACTCAGCATCGTCCGGGGGCTTCACCACGGAGCACTTCTCCAGTGCGACCAGTCTGACGGATCTACCAGAGAAGGAACAGATGAAGGATGCATGGAGGGGGACAGGAACCAATGAAAGGAGAAGAGTACGTTGACCTCAGTCTGTTTCCCACCCATCCCAAGTTGTATAAGTCACTGTTTCAACACTAACTGTTGCCGGGGAGACACGCCCACACCTGGGGGGTGTTTCACAAAGTTTTTTTTCAATGACAAATGACAAAAGTCAGTGGCAAATCTGATGATAGCTAATCAGAAGCAAGGATTTCAGTAGCTTACAACAAAAACTGTCATTTGTCACCAATGACATGTTCTGTGAAACGTCCCCCAGGTCAAATGGCCATGAATATTCATACTCACACCAGTAGGGGCAGGGCATAATATTTTTCAGTGTGTCTTTAGACTCTTTACTTAAATCATTAGATGAAATTGCAAATTACTCTGCATTTTAAAGCTGCATGTAGTTGCCTTTGTGCTGATGTGCATATGGTAATCTAGAGGAAGAATGTAACTCATTTACATTTAATAAATAGATCGATTGGATAATTAGCACAACAATTGCCATTTTATGAGTAGCTATCGATGATACTTGGAACAATTATCATTACTTGGCCTCTACTAAAAGTAATATCTTTTCTGTTCTGTTCAGACACATGCAAAGGCAAATTAATCTCAGAAAGTATACAACATAGAACATCTATGCAAATAAAGTAAATGTGTGTTTTATTATCAGTCGTATTAGAAGTAATATTTTGTGGCCTCTAATCTAAACAATGATGTATTTATTTTATTCTCCAGAAACATGCAGAAGCAGAAGAATCCCAGCGGAGATTAGACAACACGAGAGTAGACGCAGATGAAGTTATCCAGGGCATCATCAACCAACAGGACTTTCAGGCAGATGAGATGTCAGGTGGTGAGTCTAGTCGTTCATTTTCTTTGATTTATAATTTAGAGAAAATATTTTAAAGGAAATTTAAGTTCTAAATGTCCGTAAATTAAATATTCAGTCCATTTTCTTTTAATTAAATTGCATCGATAATGTGTAATATTTATTACTCATGAATACTGTGTACAGAGGGCACAGTTCATAGCAACTACTTGATTTATATCTTTTTCTCAATACGAATGAGCGAAAAATGAGAGGTGAAATGCTTTGATATCGATCACTTATCAAAGATGTTCATCAGTACATACCATGGCCCTGTCTTATAAAGAGTTGATATTAATTGCAACTTATTTGCGATTGATATCAATCACAACTAGTAGATAAGGGACTGCAAACTTGCAATTCATTTGGATCAATCGCAACTCTTCACAGTCAGGTCCCAGAGTTTCGGGCATTATCTTTTTACAAAGAAAAAATGGAATTTTATCATCATTTTCCAGTATGCCACTTGCGATCTTTTATAAGTTGCCAAGAGAATAATATGTTTGTTCATTTGCTTTTGCAGAAGAGGGACTGCAGCTGTATATTGCAAGAGATGGTTCAACAGCACTAGGGAGTCAACAGTTAAAAAATAGGTAAGTAAATACCAGACTTATACGGAACTAAGGGAACTTGTAACAAATGATGCATCAATTTCAAATGATGTGTGCTTTATTGTATTACACAGTTGCCATGTTTACAAAGTTGATACAATAATATGCTTAAGATTTAGAGAATACTAAGTTATGCACAGATAACCTTAGGAAAATGCTAATTCTGTACATACTTAGAGTTAAAATTCAAAGCTTTAAAAAGTTAGTCATTATAATCACTTTAATGGGGAAAAGCTGTACAAATGAATGACAGTGGTGTAACTTATGACTACTGCATACAAGATATGTTGATTATATGAAAACAAAACAAGATGAGCAAACAAATTTCTCTCTCTTTTTCTTTCTTGGTGACAGGATGTCAGCAGGTACCTTTGAACCAGTCGTGATAGACCAGAGATAATACTGCCTTTCTGATTGGTGCATGGACACCTATACTCTGCTGCGATTGGCCCTTTCAAACGTGGACATCTACCAGCGAGAGGCGGAACTATCCATCATCTTTCTCTGTGTAGCTACGTCTGTCTCTCGCCCTGGTGGATCATTGCAATCTTCGACAGTATTGTTCTTCGTAAGGATTGGCTCGTTTGAGTTGGTGGAGGCAATATAATCTCTACCGCCACCTCAAATTGGCAAACTATCATGGAATGTGGCATTTTTAACAATTTGGATCATTCAATGAAGTAATTAATGAGATAGGACTGCGATTACCAGATTTGATTCCAGATTAGTTGTTGAGCATCGACTGCAAGGAGATTGGAGGGGCAAGGAGATTAGGAAGCGCACACACTGCTTTCATGACGTACTGTGCAAGACCCTTTCGGTATTCTAATCATCGTATATTTAGATACCAACGTCCTGTCATGTTGGCGAAGGAATAAGTCATCTGCAAGTCAGCATTTGGTGATGCCTGAATGCCAAGCTTTTATTCTATCAGCAAAAAAAAATTTCAGTGAATAACATAGAATTTGGATGATACTTGATGGGATCATCCAGGCTTTCGCCTTATCTTTGTGTACAAACATTTCAGATTAGTGTCAATGAATGCAGAGCTGATTGACAACAGTAGAAGGTTCATTCACAATCGTTTATCTGCAATTTAAGCTGCCATTACAAGCAGTGCAACCAAATTTAGTAAGAAATGAGCTGTTGGAATATCCTTGTTTTGTTGCAAAAACTTGTGCTAGTCCATGACACTGTTACATGTACCTTTAAAAAAAAGGTTATTGATCTTATCCCAAAGATGGAGATTCTCAGAAATTGCTTCAATCATACATGACACAATAGTTATATCTTAACATGGCTATATCTAAGTTCCCAGGAACCCTAAGTAAATATATCAGAATCAACTTTTAAGGGGCAATATTAGAGGATGTGGATCTCTATACAGTAAGCAGAAATTGTGTACACAGTATTGAGACAACATCTGAATCTTGTGTACATAGTTAAAATGAAACTTAGGTAAGAAAGTGATGGAATGCTAGTTTAAAGACTTTCATTACATTGACTCTTGGGCGGTTCTGTGCAAACAGTGTCCTGTAGGGCATATGGCATTTATCAATGTATTTCATCCACGAATGATAAATCTTGTGATTTGACTTTGACATAGTGGTAGTGATACAAGAAAGCAGCATTGTTCAATGGTCGTATCGAGACATTCTTAACTTTGGGATGAAATATGTGTGAAAAAGACCTGTGTTATATGGGACACATAATAATAATATGTCTTGTTTACCCAGGGTAGCCTCATCAGTATTCATACTGTTCTCCCTGAGGGCCCTGCAATCATATTATTACCCCGGTCATCGGATTCAGGCTTACCCGCACACAATGTATGCACATTCTCCACTCCCTGGGGAACATTCCAGCCAGTGCATATAATCTGTTGAGAGCCAGAAGGGCGTTAATCCATATATCTTGACACAGAGTTAACAGCCTTCTGGCTTTTAACCAACATTAATACAAGATTGTGGTCGTAGAGGTACTTTTTTGGTGAACAGTTGCTAAAATCGATTTTGATTTATCATTATTGATTTACCTACATGCTATCATTTGTTATTACAAGTATTCAGTCGTATGCTATTTCTATGAGGATCGCTGTACTTAAAAAAATCCTCTGTTTATTCTATCAGTAATCCAACTAATCTAGCTTCTTTCCTTCAACTCAGAATTTATCCCTACGCAGGATCCAATTGAAGCTTGGATAATCCCCAATATCCATTGTAATCTTGTTTTTCTAACAGTAATCACACGATACAAAAACAACAACTAGTCAAATCAGAAAACAAAATTATTTGCATCATTGAAAGACGTCAGTTTGGATGCATGTATTAACAGAGTTTAGGGCACATGAAAGAATTAAATTCATGCAAAGCAATGCAGTTTTAAGCGCTTCATTCTGTTACACTTCTACTTATACCTTTTTAAATATTTTGTTTTAAAGCTTTTGAGCTCTCTGTTTGGGATTCTTTTGAAAATTACATTTGCTTGCAGTTTCGACATTTCTGTTTTGTTTCCATGCATTGCTTTTCAAAGTAACAGCCTTTATATTCTTTTTGACATTGGATTTATATCATATGATTTAGAACTACACTGTAGTGCACACCTGGGCTCTGTCCTAAACAGTTGCAGTTGAATTAATCATGACTCTGGACTAAAGAGGTAAAGAGTTTGGAAGTTTGCGATTGATTAGAGGATTTGCCTCTTTTTTTTTGGAGGGGGGGTGCAATCAATCTGGATCAATTAAAACTTTTTATAAGACAGAGTCCTGATATGCTTGTAGTCTATGCAGGAGAAGGATTTTTTTTTTTTTTTTTTTTTTGGGGGGGGGGGGTGAATTAGTTTCTGAAATTTCTGTTTCTACGATGAGCTTGAAACACAAGCAAATACAATCTTTCAGTTGCCAGATTTTGGATTCCAAAGCTGCACGATATGTGGTATAAATGCTTCCATTTTTGTATTTAATTTTTTTAATTGCAATTTCTCTCTTTTGTTGTTTAATGTCCATTTTGATGTTTCTTTTTTTTTTTGTAAGAATTTTTTTTTTTTGCTGTGAATTATGTGTGCTTGATAAGAAACAAAATACATATACGTGTAGTTTGGAGAAGTATGTAAAAAAAAAGAGTAGGACTTTTGGCATATGTTCTGTGTTATTCGATTTAAACAAATAGTTCTTGCATAGGAAAGCGTCTTCTTTATTATGTTAATATAAATGGTGTATACATGTATATGCTGATTACAATCTCATTCAAAGATATAGTTGAAATCAATAGGATCAAATCATATTTGCTAGTATTAAATTATGTTATCTCTTTTATAGCTTGATGCAAGTACATGTTCAGATATAAACCCCCTAAAATGTTGTGCTGTTCAAGTTGAGCATTTATATCTCTTTTGTTATTGTATTATCATACTTGATGCTGGTTTCTTGGAAAGCCTTTACTATGATGCCCTATTTGTAATGATTTTTTAATCATGGAATGTGCAGGACACTGAATACGAGGCAAAATTAAAAGTGAAATGTTGCAAAATACATGAAGAATTCCCTTATGACAATTGCAATGCATTTTGCATCATTTTTGACTTGGGGCCAATATTCATGTGTCCTTCGCAGTTCATGATTACATGCATGTGATCATTGCAAATGGGGCATCATTGTGAAGGGGAACAAACAGGCTTTCTAATGATACCAACATCAAGTATTGACATACTAAACAAAGATATATACACCCTGTATGTTCAAACTTGAATTCCTGAACTTTTCTTTGAGGGGTTTATTTCAAGTAGCAAGATATTAATGTTTCTGCAGGCAGGGACATGATATTAATCTTTGTTTATTTTGTATGTAGTAAAAATTAGATATGAGTATAAATTTGCTATCCATAATCCAGGATTTTCTATGGGAGGATTGACCTTGGGACATCCGTCGTCAAAGTTATAACAAAAATCAATCTAGAGACGTGTGCAGAATGTAAAATTCATAATTGGTGAAAATAATAATTTTAATGCATAAAAGTAGACGCTTAACATTAGGATTTAGCAATGGCCAATAACTCGACTCCCATTATTTGGCTTGATTTAACTATAACTGTCGATAAGATTTATCACATAAATACTAATAATTCATGCTTAAAATTAACAATATTGCTTCATGCGTTCCAGATGTGTCTTTCCGCTACTTCACTCAGCTACACTGTACATATAAATTAAAGACGGGCTTGTTTTCGTCTGTTTACAATCTTTGAACCTCACACCGATGCTACCACCTTTATTAGTATATTAAATCATTATTATTTAAATCACTGCCCAGAACTAGAGGTTGCCCTTTTAAAGCAGAGCAAACCAAAGACCAATATTCATATCATGAATTTTTGTTTAAAATGAATTTGCTATTGCTTTCATGTAAAGGGCGAGTACTAAATCCTGTATTTCTTATTCTTCGTATCAGTTTCCATCGTGTGATCTACATTTGTACATGTTGTTTATGTACCTTTCCTAATTCCTATGATAGGTTATTTTTAATATATTTCTGCCAGTTCAATCAAACATGCATTTAACATGTGGTATCAAATATATTTTAAAGGTGTATAAATAGTATATTTTCAAATTAATTTTCCCCTTTTATAAAGTAGCACACATGTATACTCTATTGTTCAAAGCTCCATTATAAGTGATAAACTTTAGGTTCCATCATATTTAGAGTTGTTTGCTACTGAATTGTGATATATTCCTTGTAGCTTTGATACAGGAATCGCACGTTTTGATTAGACAATGTGGTGGTATACATGTAAAAGGTATATTTCAAAGTGATGTATTCTGATATATGTTGGATCTTTATCCGATCTTGAATCAAAACAAGAGCTGTGTCTTACAACAGATGTACCTCATGCTTTTGAGTAAATTTAATCAGGGATTTTTTTTTCTCCCCTTTTTAATACAATATTCTAAGGGAACTTTATGAAGAATGGACAATTTGCATATTTCAAATTAGATTCTGTAAGCATTTGCAGTTATTAAAATGATGATAATTGGAACTTGATGGAATAATAACGCAGAAAAAGAGATTTCTAAAAAAGAACAAAAAAAAACTTAATAAAAAAAAAAATCATTAGGAATGGATTGATACCTTGGACAGAAAGGAAAAAAAAGATGAAACTTATTTTTATTTAGAGATTAATTTTTTTTGTACCATAAGATATCTAATAATGCTCGTGTAAATTTTGTATGAAAACACAAAAATATAGTTTTATTTATTGATCTGTATAGATTGACTATTGAAATGTATAGCTGTCTCGTGTGTCTAATCACATTAATGAATTGTATAGATGTAAGAAGACAATTTTGTATGAAAAATGAATTGCACAGTGTTTGTATTCTATGAATCAGGTCTAGACTGTTATATATTTTTCCCCTGTTTCGTCTCTTCAAAAATATCTTTTATGTATCTTTCCTTTGTCTGAGCAGATGTCAGTCTCAAATTAAACTTAACAAATCAGTCAAGAAATGTGTGAGAAATGTCTTTATTGTGTTTTCCGGTTGTTATCTAATATAAAGTTGGCAAGGGATCTTTTAGGGATTCTGCCATCTTCCTCACGGTAAGATGTCCGAGCCATTCAAGGCCATCTAATATTATAAATCAGATGCAAATTCTAGATACGGTTTTGAAAATTGGTTGAAAGTGAATTAGTGTTGGACTCTTTAAGGTGTGGCTAACCAGTGGCAGATCCGGCTCCACCCCCACCTACATGTATACAGCCAAACCAAATCTTTCATACTTTAATTACACATTGAAGTTTAGTCACGTCTCTCCTTTAATTTTCTTTACTCGACATTGCACATATAATTTATTTCCGCCCCCCCCCCCCCTCCTTTGAATTCATCATTCTCAACTTTCCTACTGTAAAGCCAGGAACTGTTGTAAATTGTTAAGACAGCCATTACTGAGGCAACAAACTTTTTGCAAATTGAAAAGAGAACTCCTTGTTGTCATATTTTGCAGCATGAAATTTGGTGAAGCTTGACAGCACCTGTACGTTTCTGGCTTTGCACTTCCATGTCTTCTGTGTGGAGCCAGAAGGTCATTAACTCATTGTACACAGAGTTAAGACCCTTCTAGCTCCAAACAGAGAATATATTCTCTGTAGCACTCTCACACAGGCACATGTATCTATCTTGTATTTGAGGAAAATGTATATATTCCACAATCTGTTATT